AACTCACTTTTTGAATTCAAAATTTGATTTAAAGATGTTTGGTTTATTATAGGGAACTCACCTGTATAACAACTCATTATAACCCAAAAAGCCCAAAAACTCAGTATCTCAGTTTTAGGGATCTATGATCTGTTTTGTGTTAGTTGATATAATTGTGTACAACTCCTAAAAAGTAGATGTTACAAGAATCTAAAGAATGATATAGTATACTATGATGTATGTAGTATATTCTAGCCTGAAATGTTGTTTTCTGATTTGGTAAAGCTCACGTAGTGTAACAATTTACTGAGGGTACCATATCAAAGGCATATTTAGATGCTAATTGCACCAAGCAAACAATTTGGTTCTACTTAATGCTAATTTCACCATAAGATCAAATTCAGTGTAATAGCCATTAAGCGCTGAAAAGAGATAGCTCACTCATTTATGTCTACAGAAGCCTATTATAAGTTGATAGAGCACATAAGAGCAGAAAGAAAAGCATTTTAAATCCTGATGCTTAGTTAATCAACTAAGCCTATAAGACTATAACACTTAGTAGTTTTCTAGTGTGATGTGCATATACTGATCTACCATTTAATTAAAAGGGTCTGATTAGGTAAATACAGAGGGATAGAATCAAGTAGAATACCAGCCATATTCATATTAATTACATGGTGAACAAACTTGTAATTTTTATCATCAACAGGAATCTATGCATGCTATAAGTAAATTACATACAGACCAATAATGACTTTTTTTGCTGCATGATGCCTAAAGCTGTTTGAATATTAAATGCTAGCACACATGAAATCTATTGTGCATTTTCAGCGAGCAATAACTGCAAATTAAACTCAACTCAGAAATTGAATAAGAGTCAACATACTGAAGTAGTGCATAGGCTGAACATACCTGTCCAAGATCAGAAGATTTAATGTTTATGTGTGAGAATATGACCTTCTTTTTTACCCTTAGGTTTTTTTTTTGGCCTTTTTTCTTTAGTTTTTCTGGTGGTGATGCATACACTGCCTAGATAATGAAGCGCATGGGAAAGCAGTAAGACCTACTGTTTTTATTTATACTATAATATGAGTGAGCATATAAAATAACTAAAGAATATTAAAATAAAAGCAAGAAGCAAGAATTCAAACTTACTGTTGTTGTAACAGTAGTCTGTTGTATTTCTTTGCATAAAATCAGTAACCTTACTTGTAAAATAGGGAAGTGTATATATTAGAGATGTATAGGATGTACTTTCATAATATCTAAATATAGATTTGCAAATGCATCTTCATATCTTTTAGTCTGCATATATGTTCCTATATAATATTTCTTATTGTACTGTTGTTCTATCTAAATTAAGGCTAGTCAAGTGTTATAATTTGTAAATTTCTTTGTGCTATGGCTTAAAATGATATTGAACTAACTGTTTGTGTCATATGCATTACATGTATAACAATAAACCATATCTTGTGCATGTGGTTTGTATTTTCTTTGCCATTTTCTAGGAACATATTTTCTCCTCAAATTCTTCTCTTCCATTAGTTCTGTGTCTTGGGCAGTGGTAGCTAAACCAAAGTACCCTCCTTATTTTATTTAAAATAAAGGAAAAGCATATAATTTATTTTCCTGTTTTTTTATCAGATTTGTTGCTAATTTTTGTATTTGTTAAATTCTTACTCTATAATTACAATGCTTTTGTGTTTAGTATTTTAAGCAAACACAAATAATGTATCCAAGGCATTACAAACTACATAAAACTAAAAGCAATCACAGCAGTCTATTTGCCTGCTTACTATATATATATATATATATATATATATATATATATATATATATATATATATATATATATATATATATATATATATATATAATGCAGGTTGATCATGATAGGTTGTTGTTTATACAGCACATATAAGCAGTTTACTCATTATAGATATTGTTTGGTTCACTGTCTTCGGCATACGCATGAGGGAGAGCCCAAAAGCCAAGCTGCTACTGTATGGCTCTGTGATCACCAAAAAATGCTTCCAGCACTATACACAAAACCCAACAGGCATTTAGAAGATCTTAGTGGTTCATTGAAGTTGATTGTATACCAGAATCTTTAAAAAAAAGTTCAAAAATTGCTTAATAGCATACCATATCTTAACTAATACTTAGATTGTTGTTTAGTGAACTATGCCATACTGAAAAAGGATGTTAGTTGACTGAAAAGGCTAACCTGCAGAAGAGAACCAATTCTACAATTAATCAATTACAGAAAAGTATCTAGTTGGATGAGTTAATATAAAAATGGACCACAAAACTTGAATGGACTATTATAAGAAGAAGTGCTAAGAAAAAAAGCACTCACTGATGTAGCTAGATGATGCCAGCCATACAAAGAATATCATAGGATACCACATTTCTAACATAACCCAAATCTGACCGATCAACATCCATATCAGTTATAACACTTTCATTTGCTGCTTCTCGAGCCCTAGACAGGGCAACATACAATTGACCATGTGAAAAACATGATCGTGGAAGATAGACAACAACTTTATTAAGCGTTTGCCCTTGAGCTTTATTGATGGTCATTGCAAAACTCAGCTTTAAAGGAAACTGTTTACGCTGAAACTGAAAAGGATAAGCTGAAGACTCTGATGGTCTTAGATTAATTCTTGGTATCAATACATGCTCTCCTTTATGATGGCCAACATCAATTACACATTCAATGAGATTTGGGAAGAACTTTTTGCATATCAGCCTTGTCCCATTGCAAAGACCTGATGATGGTAAGATGTTACGCAATAATATAACTGGACTGTTGACTTTCAATAACAGTTCATGAGGACTCATGACGCCAGGACAGAGTTTATTTAAAAATTCTGTAGGATATATGGAGCAATTATCGTCAATCATGGAATCATAACTCTTGTAGGCTACAGCTTCACCCGGAAATTTTGCTATTAGGATTTTATTAATAATATCTACATCATCATTGATTGGTGTGAGTATAGCTCTAGTGGTGAATATATTAGCATCAAATGGAGGCATATCCATTTCTGGAAAAGCAACTGATGTCAGTTGCATATCCTGACCTACGGCAGCATCATAAGGCTGTACAATTGCTGGCGGAAGCTGAACAAGAGCATTTCACTGTTCTGCAACTGTCCATTTCCTAATGCTAGCAAAAAGACTGCATAGGTTGGATCTTGTCTAGCCCGAATATTCTCTGTTAATCTAAATTTAATTAACAGAGGCCACAGAACATAACTGACCAGGCTAGCAGCAACTGCTTCGCGTTGTGTTCTTTTTGGGACAACCGGAAGAACTTGCCTGAAATCTCCTCCAAAGACAACAATTTTCCCTCCAAATAAGAGTTCAGGGTTACAAATATCCCTTAGCAACACATCAAGTGATTCTACATTTTCTTTTTTGGCCATTGAAGCTTCATCCCAAATGATGAGGGTTGTTTCTCTTAGTAGTGCAGCTAGACTGCCTTGTTTAGGCACATTACAAGCAAGTGATTCAAGAGGATCGAGTGGTATTTTAAACCGAGAATGAGCAGTCCTTCCCGAGGGAATATTGGCTGCAGCTATGTCAGATGTTGCAGTTGGCAAAACAATCTTATTCATGAGCCTTATTTCAGCATATAAAGCATTATATAAAAAGGTCTTTCATGTTCCACCAGGACCATCTATGAAAAATGCTCCATGTTTTTTCCTTTTAACGTGATCCATTATAACATTAAATGCCTCTCGTTGAGCTTGATTCAGCTGACTCTTGCATTGTAAACACTAGTCTGGTATTGGAGCATTCAGTGCATCTTCAATATCCTTTGTTCTTCGTATTTCATCATCATCAGGCTGAACTAAATGGTCTAAGCCATATGCAGCAAGAGAGCTGCCCATCGATTCTAGAAACCACTCAACTGATCTGACAGTGAGTTGCCTTACTTTTTGTGGATCAGAAGTATATTTGTGTCTAAAATCCTCGGACAAAAAACTATAGTATTTCATCCAGAGAGAAACAGGATTGCTGGGTTGGCAAAAGATCAGTACTGTGGCAAAGAGTTTGCGAACTGCAATTGGCATTTGAACTGCACAACCTTCTTTCAAACATAAATCGACTGAATCATCTTCTTCCAATAGCCTGAGTTTGAGTGCAGCTTGCTGAAATGTAGCACATAAATGACCATTGACTGTTCGCAGATCTTCAAATGACCTGGGACTTCTGACATTGTGGAGTAACAATCTAAGATAGTATCTTTCTCCTTCTGAAGGTCCAACAAAAGCTAGTCTACCAATGACTATTTTTTTATTCTGCCTTTTATACCAATGTTTGCTGCCTGCATCCCAGCGATAGTGCTCACAAAACTCATTGTATAACCAGCCTGTTCCAGATGGTAACCTACAGTTCATGCGGAAAAATTCTGTAAGGCAAGTTCTTGAACGTTTGTCATCTGAAACAACCGATGTCAGCTGCTCATGGGGTCTTAACTGTATAACCTGTGAATTGGGTAAGTGTACAGGGAGAAGCAAAACTGGTGGATGCATTTCATATAAATCAAACCCAAAAAGGCGCCAGGCAGCTTCACATGGAGAAACCCAGTGACCTGATTGATATTGTTGTATTTCATCATGAATGGCTACAACATCTTTAGATTGCACAATATTGAAAGATATCTTATCATGACCCTTATAAACATATTTGTATAGATACTTCACTGCCTCTATAGTGGAACAGACTTCAACATTTAAGTGGCAATCAAAATATGCTGACAAATATGGATTATATGGAATGACCCATTGATTATCCATGACTGTCTTTCGAATTTTCCTGTATCTCTTCTCCGATACAATGGATAGCCATCATTGCTATTTCTTGTTTCATCACAAAACTGTTTTGGATACCCATACTTACAATGACCATGACTTCCCTTATGTTTCATGCAAGGACACTCTGGATTCAAATGACCACATGGACCATGCATCATATGCTTCATAATAATTGTCCTAAGATGATTGTTGTCAGCAGAGTATTTCAGCACAAACAAATTTGTCAAAGTCAGCAGGGCATTTGATTTTATAGTCCTGATTCAGAATTATCAGGAAATGAGCATGAGGTAGGCCTCTTTTCTGAAATTCGATAACATAGATCATTGCTGCTACGTCCCCAAAGATCTTTTTCTTTTTAATCAAGTGCTTTAAAGCAAGAACTTTTGCTGTAAAGATCCTTACAACAATATCTGGCCTGTCTTGTGCCTTTTCTCCAACAGCAAGCTCTTGTTTAATTTCAGGCCAATTAGCATTGCAGGTCATTGTAATGAATAGATCGGGTTTGCCAAATCGCTGAACCAAAGCCATTGCATTTAAGTACCTCTTCTTAAGATCTCGAGGACCACCAATGAATGTCGGAGGCAGTATAACCTTTCGCCCCACATTTGCTGCACAATTCTCACCGCAGTCAATAGTATCCAGGATTCCTTGATACAGATCTGATCTTATAGTCTGCTAATTTCTACGGAAAAAATCCAAATGTGTATTCTCAACTTTGACATACATATCCACTATGTATTGCTGGAGGCATCTTCCTCCTCTTAGCAACATGTTATTAGGTCTGCACTGCAGCTTGTATGCATAGTATTCCCTGGCTGAAATGTTCCTATCTGTCTTTGACGAGCCTCTACTTGCACCTGAAAATGCACAAATTTTTTCAAATTTAAAAGAATCGGAAAAATAATTCACAGTAGAAGACTGAAAATTTCGTGGTAGAACATAACCAAGCATACCAGCCTAGCCCTTTTTAATAGTAGTTTTTCTGCTTTTGTTCTTACTATATTTTCATTTCCTACATTCATGGATAATCTAAGTGTTAAAAGATATAGAATGTACATACGCCTTGCTTCCTCTTCTAGCAGCTCTTCAGTAGTATGAACACTACACGAAGAAACAAGGTCAGTCTGTGATCGCAGCTGTTGTATTCCACCTCGAGACATCTTCTTTAAACCTTGTGTCCACCCACATTCACCGTATGGAAAAAGGAGCGGATATTGTAAAGGATCATAGCAACCAAAATAATGCATTATTCTATGACACGAACTCTTTTTAGGTAGATCACTATAACTTGACCCATCTCCTAGTAATTCATTTTCAGCTAAATCATCATGTGGTCTATCATGCTGAGATTTATTTTTTTTTTGCCGTCACCAAAATATGGGGACTTTCTGATTCACTGGAAGATGTACCTTCTGGCCATATGACAGCAACTTCATCAGTTGAGGGAGCATTGTAAACACGCTGATCTGGCACAGTTGTTTTATTTATTAAAATCTGTGTAGATTCAGTCACCTGAATCTTTCTCAGTGAACGAAAGAGTCTAGCATAAGGATTTAGTTTAGTAATTTCCATTAGAATAGCTAGCACATCTTTCCTGAGCTCTGGAAAGCAACCAAGTCTTTTTCGGGCCTCAAGTTCTCCATCATAGAAATAGAGTTGCGTGTACTTAGGTCCTTCCTTTCCAGGAAGTAAATAGGGAATATAATGATATAGCTGACCATGTAGCTTAAAGACATATATCCCCTTTTTAGTCTTAGCATCAAATTTCCCGCCCAATGATGTAAATGCAAACATGTTGTTATATAAGCGTATATACTGCCTAAAATGTTTTGCATCTTCGTCCATAGAAGTGAGCAATCTCACAAGTTGTTCAGGGCATTCGTTTGCTGCAATCTTAACCTCACCATCAGCACAACAGAAGTGAGGCGTTTCAAAAGCAAATTTACGTGCCCCACACTTGGGACACTCAGTTGGAGACGGAAGTTCATAGGGTGCTGTAGGTAAGTTATTGCCAACTGCTGCATCAGGGATCCCTGTTTAGTAAATCACATTTGTAAAATAATGAAACATATAGATCTTAGTTAAAATGAGACATACAAATGTTGATTTATATGTATATTGAAATGATATCCATAGATATTCGGTGTCATATAAGGTATGACATAGCCTGCATTACTTGTAATGGGACGCTTGGGTTTAGGTATTTTGGGACGCTTTGCAGCTGGCAGACTCTGCATCCTAGCAAAACAGAAGCAGCAAAACATGTAACTATTCCATTAGATGCTTTTCTATGCATACATAGCCTCTATTGCAGAAATTAAATGATATTTCTAAGATAGAACAGCTCCATGGCTGCAAAGATTCATCGAAACACATTTCAATATGTAAATATACCTTTACATTTCATCCTGAGAGCCAGATTCTAAACTCTTAAGCCGTTTAGTTTTATATCCTTTTGAAGATGATGGCTCTCGTAATAACCGATCTACACCATGATTTTCAAAACACACAGCTCGGGATAACAACCTTAGATGGTATATCCATCTATAATAAAGATAAAACGTATGTTCCAGGACATATTCATAGCTGAACAGGCAAGGACTTTAACAGCTATCGCACGATAATTCCATAGTATGAGCAACTATACTGCATAGATCCTGGGTACTAACAAATATATAATATAGTAGATAGTTAGCCAATAGCATTGCTATCAATCTAATAAACACACAGCATTGAACAACACATGCATAATATAATAGATAGTTAGCCAATAGCATTGCTAGCAATCTAATAAACACAAAGCATTGAACAACACATACATATATTCTGCATATCTCAGAAATCAACAGAATAGGCTCAACAATAAACATACATAAAAACTTTAGCCAAGTCCATTCTATTATCACATCAAATATATATTTATTATACAAAATACATAAGATCAGAAATACTTGTCACAAAAGATGCCATACACAATGTCACTTAATACAACCCTGACATTATCCTGGTAAATAACAGATAGTCCTATGATAATTCTAGTACTAAGGAACTAACCCAGCTACACAAATAAACAAAAGAGCTAGGCAACACAACTACTGCAACACCACCCTTCTGCATTACACTAATAGGATCTAATTTTTCCTAGCACCACGCTTTGCTCGCTTAAAACACTTAGCCAAATCTTTTAGAACTGGAAAGACAGAAACCATCTCACAGCCAGATTCTGCAGAAGGAGATGTTTCAGCATATATGTGTCTTAAAAGCCGCTTCTTAGGAGGCAAAGCAGGTGGAATAGACACGGGCACCTGAAATTCCTGCCCAAGTGGAGTAAGACAATCCTGCTCAATAAGAACGGTGGAAGGTTCCAACTCCTCTTTAATTCCCAGCACGCGTTCTTTGACACCTACATAGCTTTCCCTCTCTAAGGTACATAAGATGGCGTCAAACCTAGCTGCTGTGACCTTATAATTGGCATCAACTATGACAAGGTTAAAGACATCACTAAGATAGTCGATAGCCTTTCTAGCCAGGCTTTGCTTAGCTGCAACTGCAGTTCGGCAGCGATCACTAAATAAACACCGAAAGCCTATTCCTTCTTTATGAGGCATGACAGTAAAACAGCAAGTATACTCGTCAGGAGAATGTTCAATTGTTTCAATCGGAGTGCACCTTATCTCAACAGTCTTAAAGATGGCCTTTATAATGACAACAAAATCCACAACAATCTTCCTATAGTTATCCTCAGTTTCAAAATGAAGGTCTTCGTACATACACACCTTTCATTCCTCCTTCTCAATGCGTTCTAGCTCTTCCTTCTTCAACCAAAACAGCTGACCACAACGATCATACATTTGTTTCCTTAAATAAGTCACATCCTCAACAACTATTTCATATTTTTTCATTAGGTCATAAACAACCTTTCTAGCAGCCACTTCACAAGACTCTTCTACACTGCTAGTATAGCCACCAATGTAAACAGATGCAATGGGGCCGCAATCTGTCTTGATCACCACACAAGCAATGCTCCCTGGCTCATCGACAAACTGGTAATCCGGATCAGGAAAGTTCAAGTACTTGGTAATTTTCTTCAGAAGGGGACGAAATGGCATCACTACTTGTGTGGGTGGCAAGTCCATGACCTGTAAAAACAGGCACCAAATTTTTTAAAACACCCAAGGCACTAATCATTATATGTAACCCAAATTTAGATACCTAGGCAATTTTAACAGCCTTTTTACAGCAACAAATCAAGCTATTATAGGACCACATATTCTCATGCACAACCCTAGATAAGCAGCTCATACCAGCAGCATACACCACAGGGAAAAAAAAGGTAGAAAAAGGGCAAATATCTAGCTGCATACATCAGCAAGCATACTTAATGCATAAAACAGAACACTTCCTAGAGAAAAAGATACTCCTAAAAAAACTATAGTACAGATGACAGGAAACAAAGGATTCTCCTATGACCATATAGTAGAATCTAGCAGCACACAAAGCAAGTCAACATTTCCTATCATTTCATGACTACTTAGAACCATCCTTTCATCACTTTTCACCTCCAAAGCACAATCAACAAATGACAAAAATTACATGCAAAAGGCAACAAAAGACTGACCATAATGTAACAACTGAACCCAAATACCAAATCTCCAGACCTACTGCATCACACAGCTAAGCTCTGCAAAGCAGCACCCAAACTCCCAAAAATCAACAAAGGTAGCAATCTACCACCAGTATCCAACAAACACATAAACTACTCCACCTTTTTTGGGTTCTATAAAAACAATCCACTCAGATGCTGCCTAAAACAACCGATTAAGACCGAATAGATATAGAACACACTGCTTATATTCATAAATGCAAAAATCTAAATTACTCAGATACTATATCACTTAGCATGCATCCATAGATAATCATCTTTAATTTTGCGATTCAGAAAAAATAATGAAACTTTCATAATTGTAAAGTATATGGCACTACGAATTTAATGCCATCTCAATTCACAATGTACAAATAAGGCTAAAAGGGCAGTCAAATCTACAAATTTAAAGTGGAGAACTGATCATAGGCTATGTGACATACTCCAAACAACACAACCACACCTCCCAACAACGCATAACATAACTGAACAGATAAAAGCACACTAAACAGACCATTCTCCCAACACTAACTAACATAAAAGCAACAGTTGTAGCATCTAAACCAAGCACTATATTTCATAACAGCAAAAATCATACATTTAGAAAACTTAATCCTACATTCCATGACTAAATCACAACAAACCAATAACAAATCATTTCACTGAACGCATCAAGTTCCATTCATCAAACAACAACATAATGATACACCCACATGTATACAAACTACAATAGAAAATCTTCTAAGTCCTTGTCACCGTCCTGTATGGCATTGTCTTGTGTCATGGATAATCAAAGTCTTGGTCCATAAGATTATTGGCAATTGTTCCATAGATCATAACAATGTAAGAATTAATAACCTACATATATACAATATACATTTATATATCCGAAAAAGCTAACAAATTTTAAGTTACCTGATTTTCTTTGCTTAAAACTAAATCACTTTGCTATGACCACTTTTTTTTTTAGCACCAACAGGAGAACAAATCAAATGAAAGAGAGAGCTCAAGTGCTAGACTTATTCAACTACAAACAAGGAAACTCATTTATATAAATTCATTCACTCTAAGTACAACCCAATTTCCCTTTTTAATTTTAAAAATAATTAGAAGTACACCTAATTTCAAAGTCTATTGTTAGTCAAAGAAGCATACACATGGCTACACTCTAATATAATAACCCCTAAAACATGGAAGACCAAATCTTACAAGTAGCAATTCTGATTGACTGACTAAACATCACCACCCCACACCACTTCTTTTCAATCTAATAATCACCAACAATTAATCAGCAACAAACTACTAATTAATCTGTAACCGAAAACCCTTTTAAAAAGCAAGACAATTTTTCCAGAAATTCAGACCCCAAAAACACGTGCATTAAGCAACCCAACCAAATACTCTATTATTATTTATCAACAGTAATCACGAACACTAAACCAGGTACGAAATAGCTAATGACAAAACCCAAATCACATGTGGCAGACTAATACATCTCTAATTTTAAATCTCAACATTAATTATGAACACTAAACTAGGTCCGAAATAATGACAAAACCCAAATCACATGTGGTAGACTAATACATCACACTAAACCCAAAAAAGGTACAAAAAAAAACCCAAAACTCAAATCCATAATCACCCATTTTGACACTGCTCTATAAAAGGCATTAAGGATTTACAGTAAATAAATGAACTAAAAGGTAAACAAAAAAAGGCAGGAAAAAAAAACCCAAAAATCAAATCCTAAGCAATCAGTCTTTCCCTTTTTAAAAAATACAAAATAGTTACGTGAGGCCCACAACAGATAGAAATAATTCTGCATTTGCTTTAAAAAAAATTACATATCTTTTTTTAAAATACACCTTTGTTACGTGGGGCCCACCACAGCTAGATACAACCCAAATCAGTGAAAACTTTGGCATAAGGAAAAAAGCGAAAAAAAAAACAAAGAGAAAAAAAAGAGGAAAAAGGCAACAAGGGTAAAAACGGGATTGCACTGTAGATTTCAAATAGTGCTCACAACTTCTGGTTTTTAAAAGGGTAGAGAAATATTAAATCATGATTTTGTGAGTAATTATTGTCCCGGTCGTGTCAAATGTGAAAGGGGTGAAAGGAAAGACGACATCAACATTACATTACATGAATATGAATATATGTGGTATTGTTGATCCATATTGTATTTTTTAAGAGGGTATGTACTAATGTAGAATACATATGTACTCCGTATTGGATAAGTTTCACACAACATAACCAAGCATTTGAAAGGTTGTCGCATTGTGCCTTTTTCTTGAATTAAATTTTAACGTTGGAGAAATTTCATTGTTGAACTACCCATATGGCATATGACTACCTGAGTACCCATTGGTGTTAAAAGGGTAAGAGCATTAGCGGAAAGGTAGTTAGTCGAGAAATTGATGATGTATAAAACGGCAATAAAAAAAAATGCTCCGTAATATAATATAATTCACAAATGAAGAACTCACGGTGGAGTGATGATATTTTAAGAGAGTTTTCTAGATTTTGCTGGAATAATTATGCAAGTTATATTCTAGAAAAATCAAGAGTATTGTTTTAGTAGGCATGTTTGTTTATAATTGGCCAAAGAAAGAAGAGCTTACATGGGGACGAAGGTCCTTGAAACAATTGAACCTTGTGGAAATGATATATAAGACTGACTGTCAAGACCTCAAGCATGCCATGACTTGGGTTATTGAGCACAAGAAATTTGAGAGAACAAGGAGCTTGATAATAGAAAATTAGGCATTTCCCCAAAAAAGTAATAATAATAATAATAATAATAATAATAATAAATTTAAGCATAAATCAAAGTTCAGAAAACAATATAGAGAAGTAAAGTTCTACTCTGTTTCGAAATGGCAAAAGACAAAGGGATTATTTCAAATTTGTTTAGAGTGATTATATATAAGAGTGCTTCTTTAATTTCTCAAACTTGTTTGAAATATTGAAGAAAATTTAACTATTAAATAATAACAAAGGATGTATATAAAAAATCCTTGAATATATTCAAAGAATCAAAACATTACTGAGTATAATAAAAATTAAACTTCTACATGGTTATGTTGAAATAAACACTATAATATTCATCCCTCATTTCCAATAATGGTTCAAGAATATAACTCCTTCTCAACCCTTTAGCCATAAAGCTGATAGGGCTATATTTCTTGAGACCTTCGTTCCACACAAAGCTCACTGCATCCCTAAATGAAGGATCTGAATTCCTATTTTCGCAACTTAGTTTCAAACTTAGATTAGTTTTGAAACTACTATCACCATACACAAAGCAACCTTCTTTGGTTTTCAAAGATACCGTTCCAACTCTGCCATTCAACCCCTTCTCTATTAAAAATTCAGCAGATTGCTTATTATGAGTTGCCCCTATAATAATGAGTTTTTTGTCTACCCCTTGATAAGCGACCACCAAGCATGGAAGATCAAAAGGCTCTAACATGAC